TATATATATATATGTATAGACAAAAAATTATTACATGTACATATAAATTATCAGCTTCCCCCACCCCCAAATAAGGAAGAGAAAATGGTACAATACTTCATATTGGGATGTCCCACAGTCTATTACAAGAGCAACCAGTTATGTACAGGCACAAACCACTCATGGTTAATAAAAAAATTCTCCATTAAATAAAAAATGTGTATTGTATTTTTTTTTTCCCAGTAAATTGCTCAAAAGGCTGTTGGAAATATATTAAAAGCCAAAATCACACAATGTCACACACCAGCTAGTCATTCACACACTATCATAGAATGGTTTGGGTTGGAAAGGATCTTAAGATCATCTAGTTCCAACCCCCCTGCCATGGACAGGGACACCTTCAACTCTCACAAATCTTCCTCAGGCATGCTTCTACTTTCATTAGATACCTAAGACAGCATAGGTATCTAATGGAGGAAAACACAACATTATTGGTTAAATGAACATGTGCTCATTGAGAATTTGACTAAGGCAAGTAACTCAGCACAAGGCCATATGGCATAAGGATGGAATATGTTCCATCCAGTGGTGACATAAAAAGTATAAAGAACACCGAATTGTACAATCCTTCCTCACCTGCTGACTCAAGTTAATGCTGAAAAACAGTAGCAATCACTACCAGCTTCTTAGGTATACTTTTGAAAGCAAAGACTTCACTAAAAATAGTCAAAGTGGGTTCAAGAACTTTCTGCCCCACCTTCTGAATTTAAGGAAAAAGAAATAAATCTTAAAAAGTCACAAAGTTGAAACTTCTCAGCAATAATACAGCAGCTCACGAGAAAAAAAGAACATCTTGAGAAAACAGAATTATCCTATGATTAAGTTTTGTTGCCAAGCAGTCACATTACATTTCATTGGCAACAACACATTCAGAAAGAATTCTTAATTACAGGTACTTAGTTTTGCCACTAATTGCTACTTACCTGTCACCTGGGGTACATATGGGACTGACAGTCTTTCCACACTGTATCCACTGCCTCCTAATGATTCTGCAATCTTGTTTGTCAGGAAAAATAGATCTTTTTCATGCTTCTCTAAGGATTTTGGAAGACTGTCAAAAAACATATTTGAAGTTGTTATTTACCAATAGAGATTTTGTTCATTAAGTAAAAGATTTTTCCAGTGTCTGCAAGCAACCAACAAGGGTCAATGGTAGTGATTCAATGGAAATAAAAACTTGCTCAGTTTTTTACGAATGAATATACAGCCCAAAATTAGTCTGTTGAATACCTCTGCAATATTTTCAATTATCTTAAAACTTCCTGGTTATCTGAAATACATTCCTCACTTATCCTGCTATATCTTGAAAGAATATTCTCTGTTAAATACTTGAAACTGCAGAGCAGTAGGATTTTGCCTTGGCCATCAGTGTGCAGCAAAAAAGGCTAAGGATAAGTAGGCTACATTAGGAGGAGTGCTGCCAGGAGGTCGAGGGAAGACATCCTTCCCCTCTACTCAGCACTGGTAAGGCCACACCTGGAGTACTGCATCAAGTGCTGGGCTCCCCAGGACAGGAGAGACGTGGACTTACTTTAGAGAGTCCATAAAAGGGCCACTAAGATGGATTAAGGGGCTGGGTCATCTCTCCAATGAAGAAAGACTAAGGAAGCTGGGACAGTTAAGCCTGGAGAAAAGAAGATGGATTTTATCAACATGTACAACTACCTTAAATGCGGGAGGGTGGAAAGACAGGCTCCTTTCAGTGGTACCCAGTGGCAGGGACCAGAGGAAACACAGACTGAACATCAGGACACACTTTTTACTGTGAGAGTGACCAAACACTGGCACAGGTTGACCCAGGGAGGTTGTGGAGTCCCCAACTTTGGAGATACTCCAAAGCCAACTGGATGTGGTCCTGGACAGCCTGCCCTGTGTGACCCTTCCAACCTCACCCATTCTGTGAGTCCCTCTAACTACAATCAAAAATGTCCAAACCACACATTTTTTCATATATACTTTTAATCTTTGGTTTTCTTCTGCCCATCCTGTATACTATTAAACCTCTAAATTATTTTTCATGCATGCAACATATTTCAATGATATGTTATTTTTCAATAGTAAACATGTACTTTATTGTTCATTAATTCACATTCATCTACTTACTTGCATTTGTCTTTGAAAATTGTTTCTGGTAGAAAGTAAGATGCTTCCAGACTTCTAGTTTCAATGACCTAAAAAAACCAAAACAAATAGAACAAATGGAGTACCATAGCTATTTTCTCTAATGACCAAGTTGCTTAAAGAGGTTCTACTGTAGCAGATTACCAATCCTTCACTAACATCTACCTCAGTGCAAATTAGGCCTTTACAGTTTCTTTTGACCAGAGACAGTGGCACTCACACTTCAGACTAAAAATCAGGTTCCCATGGTTGTGTGCATGCCACGACTGTTTTACCAAAGCCAGTGAGGCTGTAAAGTCTCAGATGGGGACTTAGCCCATTATCTGTGGTTCCATAAACAAAATAAAAATGCTTATATATGCCTTGAGAGAAGAATATTCTGTGCATAATTTTAAGAGTAAGCAAGTAATGCCATCAGAGACCAAAGACAAAGAGTGATGTCAGTGGATACAAACACAGAAGATCAACACGACAATTACAATGGGTTATTTACCCATTTTACTGTAGAATGTGTGCTGTTCTAAATGACTTAAAATTACTTAATTATGTGTTACCTTGCTGACATGCTGACAAAAGGCAGGAACTGCAATCATCTGACTCAGAAAGTTTAGATATGCTGCAACCAATGCCATGACACCACAACGATTAAACATTGGCAGATTGTCCTCATTGATGATGGCAATGTCCTGAAATACAAAGGATAGTATTATACTTTCCAAAGATAACAGGCTGTCCTGAATATATGGAAGTCAAAATGATTATTAGGAACACTAGCTGACATGTGATGATTATCTGGTATTACTTAGCATTTACTACCTGTCATCTTAAAATCCTATTCCTTCAGCTCACTCCTGATTAAATATATATTGATCTGAAGTTAGAGAGCTTGAAAGATTCAACCCCTATGAAGAGAAATAAATCAGCCCAGCTCAAAGAGTTTGATGCTGATCACCACTTTTTTCAGAAAAATTAGAAACAGTAGTTTAGTAATAAAAATCAATCTTGTGGCTCACAGATAGAGTACCACAAAGGGAGTTACTTAATTCTTATTAGTATGTCTATGTTTATCCAGATTGTATTATTTTAGCTCTAGTAAAATCCTAATGTAATTTCCATCAAGGATTTATTCCAGTGACATATTTTAAAATTAAGGATGCACTCTGCATTTCAGAGGTTTCATAATGCAGGTGCACATCAGGAAATAAGGCTAATGACAGAGAGTGAACTGGGAATACAGGACACAATCTCATCAAATTTCTATGACACATGCTAGCACTATTTTTACGAATGCTTTAATTTCAACACAGATAAATCTACTAAGTTACACAGTTTCTCCAAGGACTGTAAGTAAGCATGAAATAATGTCTGATCCTGTAAAGGAAACGTTAAGGAATAAAGCCTGACAACACACTGATAGAATTTTACTCCAAGGTAAGATTAAAAAGCCTTGCTTCAGAAATATTTCCAACCAATGAATTAACCAAAAGCTTTCTTCCAAGGTGAGGACAGTCCACATATTTTATACAGAACACTAACACAGGATCACAGGTTGTAAGAATATCTTCTCAGTCTGATAATGAACATATTGGTGACTCTGGGGAATGTTTGAATGCATTTCCACATTTGCTATATTTCCCAAAGAGAACATGATGCAGAAGTTTGTTAATCTGATTAGTTTAAGCTTCCCAATTAGCAAGTGGTATGTACAAAGTGCACTGCCTTCATGGATCGATCCAGTGCAGGCTGAATAATGCAATTTCCAATATGAAGATCAATATACAAACAAATAAAGTTATACACATCTCCAATTACAGATATAAATTGCCAGTCAATGAACCCAACCCTGATTGAAAGTCATACCTGCAAAGCAATAGCTAATCGAATGAGGTCTATAACCACTTCTTCATTGGCTAGTTCAATTGTGGTAAGAGCTAGAGATGTAAACAGAAGTTCAAAGTTTTTTTGTACATTGTCTTCTTCTTTACAGCCCAAGTAGATGTGTCTGTACAACTGCTGACCATGCTATAGAAGACAAAAAAAGGGAACATGAGTATTAAAATCACAGAATAATTTAGGTTAGAAAGGATATTTAAAGGTCCTCTAGTCCAACTCCCTACTCCAAGTAGGGCCAACTTTGATGTTAGATCATTTTTGATAAATAATTACAGAAATACAACATGATCAAATACATTCATACACATCTGTACACAAACGTGTACATGATTAATCAAGACCACTAGCTTATAACAACAGCCTCTTTATAATACAGTAGTGTCCTATTTTATATGGAAGTGTACAGGCAGAGATGATACAGAAAGCTGCACATGAATACTGCACTGTGTGTCAGACATTGGCATTCACTTCCTACTGCAATATTCAGCAAAAAAATTGCCTGTTTATGAAAAGAAGAAAAGAAAAAGCAGATCTTGAAACATTCTCCAGAACGTCCAAGAACTGAGGAGTTTCAAGGGTTATCCTTGTGACAGCATCAAATTTGTTCATTAACCAGGTCTGCTTGAATAACAAATGCAGAAAAAATTCTTCTAGAAGGTGCTCCAGAGGATGAGTAGAGCTCATTGACCAACATGCACAGGGAGGCTCTAGCTAGTGGAGAACAGCAGTTATCTAATGAAAACCCCTCAACAGTAACTTCCCTTCCTTATAATACTCTGTGTAACCAAATCTTTGTAAAGAAACTATTATCTTAACATAGAAAGGCAGGATAAGCTGCAGGTTTTGCGTGCAGCACCCAACTCTACCACTCCAGCATTCTTAATCTGTAGAGGATACAGGTCTGTATCATTTGACACAGCTAGTTTTCAAGATCTAAGGACTGATGCTTTATCTCTAGAAGTACTAGTTCAGCATTAGAAGGAGAAAGAAAACTCATTTTTAACATCTGTTTTCCAAGCAGGACATATTCACTTGAGGAATAATAAAGATGACACTGGCCTTTTTATTACTTATAAAATCAAATATATAGCTGTTCAAATATATGTTTAATTTAGAAAAGAGGGAAACAGAGCTATTAGTAAGCAACAGAAGCTACTATGAAATAAGCACAGTGAAGGTTAACTGCTTAAAACCAGTGTATTTGGAATATAAAAGAAATGAAATGATTCATTCCACTGATGAAGAATTGCAGTTAGGTATGAAAATAAATTATTGTGTAAAATTTTTTGACACACAGGATCTTTCTAGAAGCCTCCGAAATGCAAGAAGTTCAATCCTTCCCTTTAAAGAAAAGACAGAAATAAACCTCCTGGCTTTAAGAAACTAGACTGAGATGAGAAGAGTTTTGTGCCTGTGTTTGGTTTAGTTCCACCTAACTGTAGCTATTGAAATTCCTAAGTATGATACACAGTTGACTTAGGATTCCCATCTGACATCAAACAGGCCTAGATGGTCATTCAGATCTTGATGGACATCTGGAGATGCTTCATCCCTCTCCTTTGATTATGCAGGGAATACAGGAAGAGTAGGCTGCTAACGAACACATCTACCCTAGGTGAGTAACATTAGGTTTATGATACACTCCTGAAACAGAATCACATGGATAATTATGAACGAATTACTCCACTCCCCAGGGTTAATATGTTTTTTAGAAGACTGTAATCTTTTCTTGACCTGCTAAAAGTCTCCTTTCCTCTCCTGCCCTCTTTAAAGATGAGAGTGTTAACAATTCAAATATTTAGTTTGATGATTAAATTTCCATCTAGTAACAATCAGTAAATACAACTCAGCCAAACTGCTTTAAATCCTAGATATTAAATCGATGAATTAACATTTAATTCACTTTTTACAAAGATACATTACTAATAATTGTCAGCATTGGGAGTATTCTTTATACATATATTATTCCAGTATTAATCAAAACAGGTGTAAATACACTGCAAGGAATACCAACTGTGCTAACCTAGCCAGAACATTTATCTTGCATTTATCAGCTACTTGAAAGCTGAGCATCTCTAGTTTGCGTATTATAATATATGCAGTATTTTTGCCTCTGGACAAGTTAAACTGCAATTCTTCTGATATTTATAATTAGAATATTAAGTCAGCACTCTGAAGAGATATTTTTTATTTCACAGCTAATAGCAAACAAAACCAAAGCAGCATGGGATAGCTGTCAGAAATGAGTATATTTTCTGAGGCAGATAAGAGTGATAAACATTGTGAAGCCCGACTGAGATGACTTCAGTACTTTGTATCATTTTTTTGGTTACAAACATACCTATGCAGATAAACCACAGACAGGAATGACAGAGCACATTAATTATATGCTTTTATCCCCACACTGAGAATAGGGTTATATTGTACAGAAGCAATTTCACTCTGCATAAGCATCATCTAAAAATAAAATAATAGCTTTTTTCTTTAGAACAAAACATTCTCAGAAGTCAACTGGCACAATGCCCTGTAAAAACTAATCTTGTACGGAGGTGCCTTTTCTCTTCAGAGTTAACTTTCTTTAACATCTTTACTTAATACATAAGATACAAGTCCCTGTACCAAGGCTTTTAAAAAAGAATTTAAAATAAAAAAAAAAATCTGGAAATACAGCAAAATAAAAGCCATACAAATGTAAAACTACTACTGAACATGAAATGTTGCACAGGGATGGTCTTTTCAGAATCATGCCTTAGATATATACTGTTCTAATTTCACGCGTGCAAAGATTTTCACTAAAGACAAACGAAAATTTTATTCCATGGAATAACCTCTCAAGTCTCCAGAGCACCTCAAGTGATTAAAATCACTTTAATTTGAATTAAAATGACTTGATACTGATCTTTGCAACTTGTTGCAAAAGCGCAGTTGTAGAAGAAAAGCAAAACAACTGGCTCAGTTACTTTTCTTTCTAGACAGAAAAGCTAACTTTTTCGTTCTATTACCTTTTTCATGAAGCTCACGTCTTGCCTTGAAATTTTGTCTCGTTTTATCTTTAGATCAGAAACATCTGGTATTATTCTACAAAGGAAACAAAAATGTCACTTTAGCATAAGGAAGTTGAAAAGGAAGAAGACGTGAAATACATGAACTATTCAAACAAATCCTGAAGCAATTTCCATTTTAATTATATCCATGTTTAACAATGACATTCAAATTTCAGCTGAAGAGGAAGAACCATAAACAGAATTATGACAACCACATATTTTTTCCTGTATATCAAATACCACAGCCTGTCTTCCACAGTTTAACCAGAAGGTATTTGGAATAGTCCTTAAAGGTATCGTGCACTGAGGCTTAACTGTAAAACTCCTGCCATCAATAAATGACACTGAGCACTGTGCGTTTATCAAGCCAGTACATTAACATTTCATATAAGGAGAAATATTTTACAATCCATTTATCATTCAGATATTAAACTAGAATTTCAAGTAGGCCAAAGCAAACAGAAAGAAGTACCGTATCCCTCTGAGCTTTGCTCTGTTGTCATGCCGATCAATGAGGTTATGCAGTATTTCCAAGACCAACTGCCTTAGCTCAGAGTCTTCCATAAGTGAAGGAGACAGTAACGGGTCCAGGAATGGGGGAGGAAGTGCATTAGTTATCGTTGTTGCTTTGTATCCTGAAGTCACCTGTTCAATATCAGAAGTAACGTTACTGTGGGTAAGAATTTCTTGTAGCTATCACTTTTTAGCCGGCTTGCTTTGACATCTGAAAGGGGGATTCAAATTCAAAGGTGGATTCAAAAGTATTGGTTTTGAAAATTCCTAACCTCACCATGAATTTAGAAAAGCCCATGTTCAAATGAACTCCCTCATCTGTCCTGAAGTGGTGTTTCTCAGGATCCTTCCTCTACCAACACACCCAAAAGAAAAAATAAAGGCATCATTTACCAAATTCTTTTGAAAAATGGCCTATGAAAGCTGCAGGGCATAAAATAAGGACAGTAACAACTCCAACAGAGATTTTTGCATTTCAGGCACTGAGCTGCTCATATATGGTACTGAGTACTGGGGCCTATATGTACATCTTAAACATTTATGGATATTACCTTTATTGCAAAAAAGAAAGCAAGCAGCGAACATCATTTTCTTAGAAATCTGGTACCACGGTGTTGGGTTTTTTCCTCTTCTACACTAACACTACCCCTGAGTTGCCTCATTTGATTACTTGTATTTAAAGCAAGCTCTGTAGGTACATAAGGAAAAGTTAACTTCAATCTGAGAATTTAAGTATTAATCAGCTGAACATTTACAGCAGTCAGAAATGTTTAAAATTTACTGTCTCTTAAAACGAAGGCTACAAGAACATTACAATCGCAAAAAACCTGGGACTCAAAACCTGACAAGCATAAATTATTGAGGATGAGGGGGACAAAATTATTCAAAATTTAATTATAATAAAAGCAAACTTATTTTTACCTAAGACTAAAAATAATCTACCTTCATTATGCATATTCCATGACATTATAGCTTCTACTTGTGAACTGCATTGTTTTTGGATGGAATAGCTGATTTTCTTCATAGCAGCTCATACGATGCTGTGTTCTAGATGTGTGGCCAAAAGAGTGTCGTTTTAGTTGTTGTTCTACAGGGACAGGGACCACTAAAACACAGGGTTGTTTTATTTACTGCTGAGTAGTGGTTACACAGAGCCAAGGCCTTTTCTGCTCCTACCAGTGAGTAGGCTGGGGTGCATGAGGAGATGGGACAGAGCCAGGACAGCTGACCCCAACGGACCCAAGTGATATTCTAAGGCCACAGGATCAAAACAGGGGCATTTTGCAAGGGCTGCCACTGCTTGGGGACTGGCTGTGTATCAGTTGGCTGGTGGTGAGCAACTGGGGTTTAAGTTGGTTTTTTGTCTGTCACCTGGGTGGGGTTTTTGGTTTTATTTCATTTTTTATCACTTTTTCTTGGTTTTTCTTTTGTTTTCTTATTTACTCACTAAACTGTCTTAATCTCAATCCACATTTCTCTCCCTCGTCCACTGGGGAAGAGTGGGCAAGTGACTGGGTGGTACTTTGCTGCCTGCTGAGGTTAAACCACAACACGTGAGCAAGCATTATTCCTACATCGTAACTGACTTGTTGAAAGGAAGCTGGTTGGCAGAGGAACATGAGGGTACATGGAGGTATCTAATAAATCATTTTGAAAATGGAAAATTACTAATATTATAAGCAGTAAGGCCGCAAAGAAAAGTGAATGCTTTTAATGAAGTGCCACATTTTAATTGCCTACACAACATGAAGTTGTCTGCCTGTGTGTATGCATGACAACAGACTAATTAGGTTATGAAGTATTACTCTTTTGTAAAGAATACATGATGTACAATGCCTAGCTTAGTACACAGAAGAGGTAGGGTTCAGTACTTTCTAGTTCTTCAGCATGTGTGCAGACTAAACCTCGTATACCACAGACAAAAGCTTTGCTCTGAACACAAATTCCCTCCCACATTTTTTCCCCAGGATTTATCAGTGTCGAGTAATTCATTAAGGACCAAAACATTCACTTTCACATCTCTGGGAGATGATGGGATTTTACTTCCATATTCTAAAAGAGGCTCCAAATGAAAATTCAGTGTTAAAAATGTTAAATTCTTTCCACATGCACAATTTGAATCCCTTAAAGCATACTTACAGGCTGTGCAGCACCCCAAATAATTAGAACTGACTTCAATGGAAATTTTTAAGATTGGCGAGATGGGTATTGTCAGGAACAGTTTAGGCATAGCTGAGTCCATCTTTAATGAAGACAATGTGAAAAATGGCCCCCTGAGGTCCTTTTTAACATGCTTTCTACCCTTAAATTGTAACTGTGAATGCTCAGCACTTCTGCCTGCCAGAATCTAGCATTTTATATTTTGACAAGCAAAGAAGAGTTTAACTGATTTGCCTAACACCACACACAAGTTTAATATCAAAGCAGGGGTAGAAACTCATTCTCCAGGAATGCATTCTTTTGCTGTAGTCATGAAATCATTCTTTATGTTATTTTCTCTACTTCAGCCACAAAACAGTTTTTAGTTTCTGCAATAAAATATGTCAGGATTCTACAGGCAAGAGCCTCCTTTACTACCCACTTCTGACTCCTACCATCGGGATGTATTTCCAAATATACTCTTTGAAGGTTTACAGTTGAAAAATGTATTTCTAATAAAACATTTAATCAGAGCTTAGAAGAAACTTGGGAAATACTAGGAAGGAAAGAACAATGGTGCCTGGGGCTCTAAGGCTTGGAGATAGGCATCCATCCCTACGGTTTTAAGAATATTAGTCATTCTACTAATTACAGCTTTTCTGGTGTCAGACAAAAGTGATTTCACTTTGATGTTGCCAGCACTGCTGTCAGAACTAGTCAACTCAACCTACTCTATGATGTTCTTTTGGATCTGCAGATCCAATTATAACCAATATTCACTAAACTGCTCTAAGAGATGGAGGAATATTTCTTGAGTTGCTTGTAACGTAAGTTGGGAAAACACTGTCACAATTTTACCCAGTAGATCTGAGTAAAATGAAGGTATGTTTAATCTCATAATACAGAATTGTAATACCGTACTTATGTGTATAAACATAAAAAGTGAAACATTGTGTGCTTATAACATACTGAACACAGGAAGGCTTACCATAAGTAAAGATCTCAGCAACATAATTTGAATCCGCCTGGTTCCCAAATCCCTACAATTAGAAAGAAAGATGAAAATTAGTTTCTTCACATATCTTCAAAATATTATTGTACTCCAGACATCATTCTAACAACTGCAGTTTTGAAAAGTGAATACAAGTCTTGGAAGAGACAATGGATGACCACAAATAAGTATCTCCAAATGAGGTGTACTAACCAAATGTTTTTCAAAGGAACATTAATAGAAGGCCTAAAAAAAGCACATACAACTGAAAAGACTGAATTATATATGGAAAGCAGATCTAAATCTTCATGGTTCATTCAGAAATCTCTTTGTATCTGAAATGTTCAGCCCCTACATGCTTGACTTAATTTTCCTAAGCATCAGCACTCAGAATTTCTTCTGAATTAAAATGTAATGGAGTCATGTAATGAAGTCTTTTAGAACATCAGGACATTTCTTTAAGTCAGACCCCAAAACTCTGAGACTGAAAAAGACTTATCAACAAAATCAGCAAGAAAACCTGAAAGAACCCTCAGTTTTCAGATCATGGGAAGGTACATGGAACACCACTTAACCTGTTCTTCACCTGTACTCTTCTTCCATCTGCTGGTACTAGAAGACATTAAATACCTACTGGTATATAGTCACATATGCACTGTTCATGCAAGATCTTACACATAAGAGTGCACTTGGAATTAATTGCTCCATTTACAGAATGACAGAATGATTAGGGTTGGAAGGGACCTCTGGAGATCATCTAGGCCAACCCGGGCAGGGCCACCCAGAGCAGGTTACACAGGAACACATCCAGGTGGGTTTTGAAAGTCTCCAGAGGGAGACTCCACAACTCCCCATGGCAGCCTGTTCCAGTGCGCCACCACCCCCAACAAAAAGTTCTTCCTCATGTTGAGGTGAAACTTCTTGTGTTTTAGTTTATGGCCATTGCTCCTTGTCCTGTTGCTGGGCACCACTGTAAAGAGTCTGGCCCCATCCTCCTGGCATCTGTCTTTGAGATATTGATCTCCATTAATGAGATCCCCTCTCAGTCTTCTTTTCTCTAGACTAAACAGGCCTAGCTCTTACAATCTCTCCTCATAAGAGAGATGCTCCAGAGCCCTGATCATCCTTATGGCTCTCTGCTGGACCCTCTCCAGTAGCTCCTTGTCTTTCTTGCACTGAGGAGCACAGAACTGGACACAGTACTCCAGATGTGGCCTCACTAGGGCTGAGTAGAGGGGGGGGATCACTTCCCTTGACCTGCTGGCCACTCTCCTCCTGATGTATCCCAGGGTAATACTGGCCCTCCCGGCTGCAAGAGCACACTGCTGGCTCATGGTCAACTTATCATCTACCAATACTCAGCTGAACTGCTCTCCAGCAGGTCAGCCCCAACCTGTACTGGTACTTGGGGTTATTCTTCACCAGGTGCAGTATCCTACACTTGCCCTTGTAAAGAAACATTTAAAGAGGCTCTGTCAAGGAAGTAGAAAAGGTACAAACCCTTTTGCCCACCGAACAGCACAAAGAAAGAACAAGTCTCTTCACAAAAGTTGGTCCCTACGTACCAGTGGAAAATTCCACCTTCATGGGCTCTCATCCTGACTATATCCCATGGCAGTATCATTCGGATCTTGTGTAGAAGAGACCAAATTTTCAGGTAAGTAATGCAAGATTTTCTCAGCAGTCAGAAAGCCTGCTTCGTTCACAATGACACACATGCCTCACACCAACAGTCTCACGTTTACACAGAAGCCCATGAAGGAAAATTGTACAGTTAAAAACAACCCCAACCCCCTCACCCCAGCTGGTAACCCAAGTGCTGAATTGTGAATAGATTCATATTTCAAATATCTTCTCAATGAGTGGGAACTGCCTGGCACAGACAGATTTCTAGCTTCCACGGAATATTGTACTGTACTGCAGGGGCTCAACACTATATGAAAAGCTACCAAGAAGCCAGGAGAATGACACTGAATTCTTACTTATGCTTGTAGGGGATCAGACATATGTGATATGAAGTGTCCATGCATACCTGGAAAGAACAGCTACAACCTTTCCAGTGACTTTCCCCATTCTGGGGAAAAGCAGTCTTTTAAACATAATGATGCAGGAAAAAAAATTACTTCAGCACATGGCAGCTTTTTAATTATGGGTTTACAACAGAAGTTTGCCCACCGGTGGCTTTATTTCTAAATAAATCTGGAATATCTAAACAAAACCAAATTCATTGGAATTTTTGCAGTTTATTTCTTAACCTGAAGTCAGCTTGTACAGAATGAAGGAAAAAAAAACCCAAAAAATATTTGTAACTTAGACAGCTATTTGAAAAATTTAGTCATAGCTCAACTTCCCTCATTCATAAAATACACACAGAATCATAGAATGGTTTGGGTTGGAAAGGACCTTAAGATCATCCAGTTCCAACCCCCTG